GCTCATCCAGATCTATAAACATCCAAAGATGCAAGAACACAAACACATGTGCACCATAAAAGTTGCCGCTGCATGACCCCTCTGGTTGACCTCCAGCCCACACTGTCATTCTGCTGCCAGGCCAGCTCTGGGTTACTAATATTATCACTCACCTGATAGGCGATAAGGGCTGTTCTCCAGGCCTGGGGATGAAGAGCTGTTAGGAACTCTGACTAATAAGGCTACGATGACACATTCTGTCACAGAGTCCATGGGAAAAGAGGCCCTCACCATGCCGGAAGGACAGCAGACTCCCAACTCATTTTGAGGGTAATTTTGCCAACATTACAAATTGCAAGTTTATTTACTCTTGACCCAGTTATCCTACTTCTGAGAATTTACCCTCTAGATATATAATGCCAAATGACACTCCAATGAGGTTATTTCCTGCTACCCTGTGTATGATAGTGAATGCTTCATTTGTAGGGGGACGAATGAATAGACACCAGCCCAGCCAGCAACAGTAGATGCGCACGTTCGCCACTTCCAATGGGAACGCAGCCACACAGCCCACCAGCAGCTGAAGCTTTTCCAGGGGACAAGACTCCACCCAGCCTGCCAAATGTCACAGCTCAGCCACACAGCACCCTGTGACTGGTGCGTCTCCTTGGGACCATTTGGCTGCCCAGAGCTTCAGCTCTTGCCTGCTTCAGAAGAAAGGACTGGACCATTAAAGCCAGGGCCATTCATGTTCTGCATTTGTAGACAGAGGGCAGAGCTGTCTCCATGCTGAACAGGAGAAAGTTCCATGGGGCGAAAACCAGGAAGCAGAGTAAGAACTATCTGCGTTTTGAAAACAACATTCTACAAAGATGCAGGAGACATCAAAGCGGTGAAGGGGGGGATGCAGAGCAAAGGAAAGGGGTTGAAAGGAAGGTGGTGAACACAATGCCCCAAGGAGTACTTTCAAATATTAGTCTAGCTTTTCATTACTTATATTACCTAACAAGACAATAAAAACGGTTTCCCCACAAGTCAGATGCTCTAAAATATTAGCAAATATAGGCCAGAGACTCCACCTGACAACATCGGTCTTCAGGTGGGGAAACTGAGGCCCCAGACACGAAGCTAGTCAGTTGCCCAGTGAGTGCTGCTGTGGGCCTGAGCCGGGAGCCAGGATCCAAGCCCAGAATAGCTCCGATTCTAAGCACAAACCTTCAGAGTATTTTCTTTCAAGTTTTATCTCTCATTCCTCAGGAAAAGATAACAATAGAAGTTTCAGAGAATGAACTGACCTTTTGCTTCATAGATTTCTCAACATATCACAAATTCTTCCAGCATGGATGAAATAGCAAGAACCTGCTCGAACTATCAGAACATCCACCGGGGTAGAGCTAAGACATTCCGAAATCTGAAACTGAGCCCGGGCAGAAGGCAAGCATGAAAGATCCCAGAAGATGAAACTGTTTCATGCCCACAATTATGACAAATATTACCTATGGAGTGACATTTGTGTAGTGTGTGTGTGTGTGTGTGTGTGTGTGTGCACGCATGGGTTGAAGTCTCAACTCTGTGACACCTCATATTTATACGCAAGCATTTAAAAAAAGTGAAATCAAAAACCTTTCTGGAATCAAGCATTTTGGGTGAGTCATTCGTCATGTACTTTCTTTCCTGTTGAGACTGTCATTTTTATTTTGGCCCTTAGACATATATAGAAAACAGTCTTCCAAAAATTTTCTTCAATATTTTAGTAAATCACGTAGAAGGAAATTCTGGGTTGAAGACGGCGGTAGAACTGTGCGACAATGGCGCCCTCTCGTGGTAGATATCTATGCCTGCTAAGTGACGATTTTTTTCCCCCTCGGACTGAAGAACAAAGGTGAGACACATTATTTATGACTAATCATAACCTATTTCTTTTTCTTTCTTTCTTTTTTTTTTTTTTTGAGACCCTGTACAGGGCCTACAGGGTCTCACTAGGCAGATCGGACTTGTAGTGATCCTCCTGTTTTCAGCCTCCCAAGCGCTGGGATTACAGGCGCGCCACCACGCCCAGTCTCAGTGGCAGGCTCAGCGCACCGGACGATCGAACCCCGGTCCCTGCGATCGAACCTCCGTCCCTGCGCTCTGCCGAACCAGGTGCTTTTAGTCCGCTGAGCTATCTGGCCGGCTCTGAGAAATAATTTTAAAAGGAACTTTGATGTTAGTTAAATTAGAGGCCAGGGAGATGGCTCAGTAGAATAAGTGCCTGCCTGGCAAGCACAAGGTCCTGAGTTCAATCCCTGGTACCGAAAAAAAAAAATGAATATTAGTTAAATTAGAAACACAATATTGCAAAGTAATTAATTTTAAATATTCAATAGTAATGAAGCCAACTGCCTCACCTATGCAAGGGCGAACACTGAATGCAGGGTAAGAAGCAGGGTCACGTGGGTGTTCACGGAGAGCATCTGGTGACACCTGCTGGGACACATTCTAGGCCTGCGCGCCTCACTCCTTGTTCAGCTGTTGTAATGTCAAGGGGGAAGAGCCCAGACTAAGATCCTACAGAGACTTCTTCGAATCCACTCCAGGGTTTCATCAGGGATCCATCAGGGGGCAGAAGCTTCACCAGTTACATATAAAAATGTTATAACAGTGTTATTGAGCTGGGCAGGGTGGTGCGCAGCTGAAATCCCGGCACTTGGGAAGCTGGAGCAGGAGCATGGCCTTGAGGTCAAGGCCAGCCTAAACTACATAGTGAGACCTTGTCTGAAAACAATTAAAAACAATTTGGGCCTGTGGGTGAGATAGCTCAGCAGCCTGCAGCACCTGCTAAGGCAAGCTTAGGCAAGTTTAGGTAAGCACTCAGGGATCGCGGTTGGGCTCAATCCCCGGCATCACATGCCGCGCCATCCCTGTCCCCAGGGTGGACTGAGCTGGCCACAAAAAATCAGGCTTTTTTTTTTCTCCGAATGCCTTCAGGGCAGGCTTGGCTGGCTGGAGTTGTGGGGATGGAACCGCAGCAACCTGAGCCTGACTGCTTTGTGGAAGCAGCCACTTAAAGAACTGAGCTAAGAGGCAGGCCCCCTGGCCACAAAAAAATAAATAAAATAAAAAATAAAACAAAACACAAAAACCTCCGAACTGCTCGGAAATGTCTGAGATAGCATATTGATGTACCGTCAACTCATGTTTAAAATACTTAATTTAGATTTTAACATGCATATATCTGCAACATCAGCACAACCAACACAATGACCTTTCCAGCACCCCCACAAGTCTTCTTGCACCCCCGGAATCTCTCCCACTTTGAGCCCACCTTTGTCTCAGGCCAGCATTGACCGACGTGTCATACGCAGTGCGCTTGCGCCAGTTTTGCGTCAAGGGATGACGGCGCATAAGTCCTTGCTGTCTGGCTCCCGTCCCACGGCGATATTATGCTGAAATCACCCACGCGGTGGCGCCTGTCGTTAGTTCGGCCTGTTGTTCCGCTAATCCCGAGTTCAGGCTACAGACAAGTAACCAAGCTTTGTCCCATCACCTGTTCTCAGTGTTCACACAGTTCGATTTGAACTACTCCAGGGACCACCGCCGTGGGCATTCAGGCCATGCGCAAGGCTCTGTGTGCGCACGCGCTTTCATTTCTGCTAGGTGAATATTTGTAAGTGGGAGGCTGGGGGTGTTTCACCTTTTGAAGAGCTACCGAACTGTCCCTCCCTCCCTTCCTCCCTCTCTCCCTCCCTTTTCCTTTCTCTTGCTTCTCTGCGGCGCTGCCCCAGTCATCACCATGTCCCAGGTTCTCTTCCTGCTAGGTGTGGGCCAGGGTTAGAGTTTCTCATCCTCACCAGGTTTGGAAGGATGCATCTTCCTGATTAAAGTATTCCCAATAAGCGTGTAGGAATCTGGGTGTGGTTTTAATTTGCATTTTCCTACAGAAGGCGGAGACATACACTCAAACGGGGCTGGGACTGGCTTCCTAGGGCCTTTAGGGAGTGGGCGCGGGGCACTGGTGATTGGCCCACAGAGTATCCATGGCAACATCCGGAGGTGGATGAGAGGACAGCGCAGCAACGGGCTATCTATCCCTGGGCTGAGAAATCGGTAGGAGGACAAGGGGGCAATCGCAGAGACTGAGGAGCCTGCTGCTCTCGAGTGTATGCGGAGAAAGGACACGTGACAGTTGTGGTCTCTGAAGAGCCTAGAGGGGAGTGGAAGCCGGGCTGGTCCCATCCTCCGCAGCTGCAGGAGAGGACTGGCTGAAGCTAAGGCCAGGTCTGACGAGGGCTGCAGAGAAATGAGCCGCTCTCGGGCCCTGCTGTGGCCCGCACCCGCCGCCTCCTGTGGACCCTTCTCTCGGTGACCGCACCAGGCAGCTGTGGCTGATGAGGAAGCACAGGAGGGCTGTGGCAGGACCCCGTCCAGCCGCACCGGCGAGAGGCAGGCAGGACCGCGGTGGGGACTCCATGGTCTCTGGAGGAAAAACTTAGGAGCAGGAGTTCAGGCTTACTGCGTGGGCGCCAGCGCACTGCTGCGGTGCTCGCGTCTCCCGGGTGAGCGCGCCCGGTCCGCGTCCTGAGCACACAGCCGGCACAGGCTGCGCGCATGGGCTTGGTGCAGCTCCTGGGGTCACCTTGTGGGGCGGCCTGGATAACGTGCAAGCAAATCACCCCCACGCCCGCCCCATCCACTTCCAGTGCCACCGCTGTGTAAGTTAGTGCTGTGACCCCGTGACGGGGAACCTGATGCAAACCATGTAAAGGCGGAGGGTTTGCTGGGCCGGCGATTGCCCAGCCTTGCTCTGCGGCCGCTGGCTCCCCCTCTAGGGCTGTGCTGAGCCTGAGCGCCCTGGCAGAGGAAGGAGAAGCTGCTCACTGTGTGGCAGCCAGGAAGCAGCATGAAAGGAGAAGAGATTGAGAGGAAGGGGCCAGGGACACTGTGCAGCCCCCAGAAGCTACTTGTGGCAACCGGGCTCCACTTCCTAAGTGTCCACGCCCTCCCAATAATATCATCAAATTCTGATGTCACCAGTGGCTTGATCTGCTGAAGAAGGCCGAGCCAGCACAGTCCAGTCACCTCTGGAAAAGCGCAGTTCTGAATACATTCACCTCAGGGGAACATAAAGATCTAAGCCCTGGCGCCAAGGCTTCTCAGGAATGCATGTCCCCTGCTCGCACCTTTTCTTTTTTTTTCAATCTTATTTATTTATTTGGTACACGGTCTTGCTACACAGCTCACACTCGTAGTGATCCTCCTGTATCAGTCTCCCCAGCGCTGGGACCGTAGGTGTGTGCCACCACGCCCAGTGTCTT